GGATTACAGGCGTGAGCCACTGGGCCCGGCCCCTTTTCATTTTCTTTACGGTGTTTTTGCAAGAGGTGAAGTTTTATATTTTCAGGAAATCTGTTTATCAGTTTCTAAATTTCATACCTTGTGCATTTTGCGTCCCATCTAAGACGTCTCTGCGCTCTCCGAGGTGCGCAGACGTTCTTCCGGACGTTCAACGGGTCTGGCTGCTGGGCGAGGGTCGGACCCGTCTCTCACCGACGGCGTGAGTCAGGGCTCGGCCGCACGTGAGGGGCCAGAGAGGAGAGGAGACCGGCGCGTCTGGACCGAGGGGCACCCGTCCCCATCGGGGTCTGTAGCTGCCGGCGGGCCCTGGCCAGTTGTGCCGAGGCGTGTCCTCCCAGATGGCTCCGGTCACATCCCGTCGGCCGAAGGAGTCCGTGGTGGAGCGGAGCGCGGACGGCCTGAGCTTTCCCACGGCAGGGCGGAGCGCGGACGGCCCTGACGGGAGACGCCGACACCCCTGCCCCGTTTCTGTTCCACTGGAGCCCAGTCTTGCTCCCCGTAACTGGGAGGAATTTAAGGTACCAGATGCTGACGTCTAGCGAGGGTCTGCAGGAGGAGCCGGTGGTCGACCATGTCAGTTCATGGATTACGACAGGTTTTATGAAGCGTGGATTCACGGCTCTCCCTGGATTAACCTGGAAACCTAGTTTTCCTGGTACTGAGCCCAGAAATAATTATTTCTTACCCGCTGCTATCTGGAATGTCACCAAACCCCTGCGCCAGAGCCAGTCGGCCCGGTCCCGGCCTCGGGTCCCAGCCCCAGAGTCCTTCGCCCTGAGCTGGCCGAGAGCCACCGACCAGCAGCTGGGGCCAGGGCCGGGCACCTGTGCTGCGGCTGCCCAGGGAGGGCGTGGTGGTGCTGAGGGCTGACCTTGGGCGGGCCTGGCCCTGCCAACAAGGCAGCCAGGGGCCGGGGGCCCTGAACGAACGAGGGGTCTGTGGAGCGGGAGGCCGGGCCGACGCCGGGTGGTTTTCTCGCACTCGCAGCTGAGCAGACTCAGGGCGTGGGGAGAACGCGGAGCTCGCGGCGGACTGGGCTCGGGTCCCGGTCAGCAGCCCTCTGTCCGTGGGGCCCCGGGATCCGGAGCCGCTACGGCCTCATTTGTCCCCCCGGAGCTGGTGGGACCTGTCCGAGGAGACTCGGGGCTGTGTGGGGAGGAGGGAGGGACGTGCGTTCAGGCACCCTGACCTCCGGGCGCAGCGACGCGCCGGCAACTCACTGGTGGGGAGAGAAGGCGCCGGGTCTCCGGGGCGGGACTTGTCGGTTCCGACCTCTCTCCCGTCACTCACCAGGCCGGGTCCTGTCTCTCCCTCAAACAGACCAGAGCCGAGTGTGCGTTTAGCGGCCAAAACCTTTCTCCCAGCGACGCTGACCTGGCGCTGCACACACCAGAGCCCGGCAACGTCCTCGGTCGGCCCCACGTCGGAGCCTCGGGGGCGCTCTGAGCAGAGCCCGGTTGCCCTGAGTGCATTTTCAGAGCCGTCCTCTGGGTCATCCTGCCCTGAGCCCAGGAGTGGCCTGAGGCCACGGAGCGCGCGTGGCGCAGAGCACAGGCCGGGGCAGCTGTAGGAGCCTCGGGGGCTCGGCGCCGGCTCCGTGCGGACGAGCTGCTGTGCTCAGGCCCCGCCCGGCCTGCTCTGGTTTGGCTCCGTCCACCTCATCGGCTGTTTTCTTAGTGAGAGAGCAGGACTCCATGCGGCCCGCGGCCCCCGCGCTCAGAGGGGATCTCGTCCTTCCTGTTTGCCTCCCGGGTCACTGAGCCCGTCCCTCAGAGGGGACCAATCTCATCATGCGGCCCAGCTGTGCTCGCCGCCGCCGGCTACAGACGAGGGCAAGTGTGTTCTGCGGCTGCAGACGACCGGGCCTAGGAGCTCGGAGCAGGGTGAGGCCCGCGGGGCTCCCGGGGGCGGCACAGGAAGACAGGGCTGCGGGGGTGGGGAACGGCCCAGGAGACACGGCGGATGTTCCAGCTGAGCCACCCGCCCCGGCAAGGGAGAGGCTGGAAATCTGGGTGTTGCCCGTGGGGCTCTCGGTGACAAGGACACACCTGGGGGCCTCCGCGGGGGACACACTCAGGACCCCAGGAGGCCTCGCCAGTGGCCACGGACCGAGGACTTGAACCAGCGTTACGGGGATTAGAAAAGCAGAATGGCAGACGCAGAGCGGGAATCTCCACAGATGCACCGGGGCTGCGAGCCCGGCGCAGGGACAGACGCGTCCGCACGGCGCAGAGTGCTCGGCCTGCAAGGCGGCGGCGCGGCAAGCTCTCAGACACACACACCCATGACTCTGCGCGTGAAAGGTCCGGCTCGGGCAGGTCCGCGGGGCTGAAGGTCGCAGGGTGGAGGGCGAGCGGGTGGGGGCCGCACACGTGGACGCGTCGACGCGTCAGAGCGGAGACCTCCGTGGTCGGCAGGTTTTGCCGTGAGCGCAGTGCGCCGCCGCGCAAGTTCCGACCCAGCCCTGGCGGAGGCCGACCCCGCTGCCCTCCCAGGGCCCCTCGGAGCAGGTGCCGGCCGGGGTGGTCTGGCCGCCACGTCACCTCACGTGCTGCTCTCCATGCAGGCAGGGGTCGGGCCCTGCGGAACCCTCCGGAGCAGCTGTGCAAACGGAGCGTGGGAGGAGGCGCGCACACGCCAACCCCTCCCAGAGGAAGGAACAGAGGGATCGGGATGGGCTCCAAGGAAGCGGCTGCACTCGGAGCCGCCCCGGGGTGACAGGCGCTCCAGGTCCCAGGTCGGCTGGGAGAGGAGAGTGTGGCCCTGGCAGGGCCCACGGCCCAGTCACTCTGTCCCCTGCCCCACGTGCCCTAGAGGACCCAGGCACGCTGGCCGTCCCCCTCCTCCGGGATGGCTGGCCGGGCCCTAGAGAAGAGCCGCAGCCCTGGACCCGGCCGGGGCTGGAGAGGACGCTGGTGCTGGGCCAGGCCTCCTGGGGACACCCAGAGCCCCAGGGCAGTGAGGGCCTCGAGGCCCTGCTCTGCCTCCTCCGTGTGTCACCGTGTCACACTGTGCAGGTGTCGCAACAGGAAGTCCACCAGGGCGCAGACCCCAGGACTGGCCCCTCCACATGCAGTGGAGCCGTGGGGGCGGCGGGTGCCTTCCGAACAAGCGAGGTCTCCATCTCAGAGGTCAAAGGGCACACCCCAGTTCTGCGTCCAGGGCTGAGTCCTTCCCAGCTGCACTGGCACACAGCTCGCTGCTTCCGTGAGTAGCGCGATGACCCGCCTTTCGTGGGAGCTCGCGGGAGCAGGCTCGGTTCCCATGGGGGCGAGCGGCAGGGGGCCGGGCCGGTGCAGCTGGAAGGAGGCCGAGGTCCCGCCGCCGGTCAGGTTCGCAGCCCCCGAGGGTGGGCACCAGCGCAAGGGCTGTGAAAGCAGCCAGTGGGCCCATGTGTCTGTCACCATGGCGACCGCGAGGCGTGCGCGGACCACATTCCTCCCACGTGTGTCCATTTCCCTGGTGTGGCAGCTCCACGCACTCCACCGGGAGGGGCAGGTGGGGGCTGCCTGCTGGGACCCTCGGCGACGGAGCCAGGCTGGTGGCTGCTCCCGGGGAGGCTCGAGCCCCTGCCCGGCGCCTCCCCCCACCGGCGGAGACCCCAGGAATCGGGCTCAGGAGCCACCCGCGTGGCGCAGAGCTGCCCTGGCCTGGCGGGGGGCCCACGCCAGAGGCCCTGGGAGGAGGAGACCCTCGAGCCCTGAGCCTGCCCAGCTTAGGAATCCTGGGACGGGCCGCGCAACCCTCCCTGGCGCCCTGCCGTGTGCCTGGGTCTCAGCACGCCATCCACAGCAGCTGCGTGGGGCCGGCACCTCCGTCTGGGGCCCTTCAGCGGTGACGGGCAAACAAACGGTGGGGTATCAGGGCTGGAAACAAGCGCGCTATCACGCCAGGAGAAGACGCGGAGGAACCTCAAACGCACGTGGCTAGTGAGGAGTGATGTGGAAAGGCCACGCCTGTGGGTCCCAACTCTGCGACACTCCGGAAGAGGCAGAGCCACGGGGACGGAAAGTCTGTGGCCACCGGGAGCTGGGGAGGGGGATGGGCAGGGACTTCCAGGGCCGCGAGACCGTTCTGCATGAGACCATAGGACGCGCGTCACGGAACCTGTGTCCACACCCAGAGGACGCGCACACGCCCTCGTGTGAACCACGGACGTCAACGGTCCTGTCACCGGTGCACCCACCCAAGGCGCAGCAGCGCCCTCGAGAACACGTCCACGGAAGAGCAAGGGCGTGAACATCCACCGCAGACTCGCGGCAAAGACTGGAAACCACCCACAGTCCATGCACGGATGGGGAACCGAGGCAGGACGTCACAGTACCCGGCCAGCACGGGTGCGCCCGGCACAGGCACCAACAACGCGGTCCGACCACCCGGCTGCTGCACTACGGGAGCTGCTCACAGCGGATGCGCCCCGCACGCGGGCCGGGGGCCGCCTTGGCGGAGGCGGAGAAACTGACGGGAGAGCGCGTGGGGCCTCTCCCGCCTGCGGGAGGGTGCGGGGCGCCCAGGTGCCCTGCCCTGGGAGTGAGGTGTGCAAGGCGGGGGCTCGGGGCCCCCCGGCCGTCCACGGGAGCAGGGGGAGCAGCCCGCCCTGCACGGGGACCCCTCTGGCGCGTGAAAGGAAACCTCTGGGACGTAGGAACCTTCAGGGCAGGGTACCGCGACGTGGGGAGTGTCTGTGCTGGGCGTGCCTGGCCCTTCCCGCCCGCTGAGCCTGAGGCCTGGCCGCCACCTGGCGCTGCGGCAGGACACGCTCTCGGGGAAGGAGACCCTGCGCGTCCTGCCAGGCGGCTGCAGCAGGGCCGGGACACTGGTGAGGCCGCTCTGAGGAGGCCCGGACGCGAGCACAGGTGGCGGGAGAGGCGACCCCAGGAGGGGCCCGTGATACCCCAGGGTGCCCTGGATGGGTCCCCGCGCGGCAAGCGCCTGGCTCACCTGGAACAGGATCTGCAGCAGCCCGTGCAGGATGCACATGCGGCGGCCCAGGAAGAGGAAGAAGGGCACCACCAGCTCCAGGAAGTGGTTGCTGAGCGTCTCGAAGCGGTGGAACCACCAGGGCGACCTGTGCAGGTAGTAGGCCATCGGGTTGGGCACCGGCTGGGTCTGCGGGGAGAGGGGCCGTGAGCCGAGGACAGCCGTGCAGGTCGTGCCCACTGCGGCCCCGCCCAAGGACGCCCCGCCTGGCCCTGCCTGGCCAAGAGCCGGGGCTTCCGGGGGAGGTGGTTTCTGAAGCAAAAGCAAGTTCTTTGTTTTAAAACCGTCACCATGTGAAGGCAACGAGTGCACACTCTACTAGGAGACACGACAGCTTGGCACCGTCGGCGCCTAATCGGGAACGCTCGCCGCCCTGCTGCCCGCAGCTGGCCGTGCTGTGAGCCCCAGAGGACCGTGGCTGGGCTGGGGGCCCCCAGCCCCACAGAACCACCTGAGGTGGGGCACCCGCCGGGCCACGCTCCCGAGGTCCCCGACATTCCCCAGGCCCAGTACACACACGGAACTTTCTTTTCTTACAAGGTCAATAAAACCGCCAGTGGACAAGCACGTAAACCACGGCTTCCAGCCCACGGGTGCCACTCAGCCACCGCCCTGGCCTTGCTGTCTTCGTTCCTTGTTCCCGCGGGTATGAGGGTTCCACTGCCGCCTCCAGCCCCTTCTGCCAACTTATTTCTCCATTTGGTTCTGTCAACTTCTGTTTAGCATATTTGGAAACGATGTTTCTGAGTACACGCAAACTCAGGATTCGTGTGCTTCTTGTTAAAGCGACTCTGTCAGCGCTGTCCTCTCCGTGCTCCTCGCCCCCAAACCCGCTCGTCTGACGTTGGCGCCGCCGCACCAGCTCCCCCTCGGGCACTGCTTACACGACCCTGTCTCCTTTCCCATCTCCCTGCTTCCAGCCCGTTTCTTCGGTTAGAGCATACCTCACACACGCACACACACACGCACGCGGGACGCGCACGCACGGTGCTGGTCCTGCCCGTCCCAGTCAGGCGCCTGCGCTGCCCCCAGAGCGGCCGAGGAGCGAGTCAGCGGCTCCTGCCCCGGCTGGGAGCTGTAACCTAAAAACTCAATCAGCGCCACACGCAGGCTTCCCCTACACACTGCCCGGGGACGCTACAGATAAGCGAGTGGAAAGTGATTTACATCCCGGATCAGAGGTCAGCTCAGCGCAGCTGACTTGGGAGCTAAACAGCAACGTGAACTTCTACTAACTGCTCGCGCCACCCCGAGAGGCAGGAGGGAGAAGCCGCGTGCGGATCTGAATGCTCAGCACGGCGGTGACCAGCCTGGGAGGCCGTGGGCTCCTCGGACACCTTCCGGCAACTTAGCGACCAAGACCACGCGCGTCCTCCTGACAGCCCAGCCCTGCAGCTGCGGGTGAAGCGTTTCTATGCGAGTGACATGTCCAACACAAAGAAATTTTAAGGTACAGATTTGTGTAATCGAAGTATTTCGAGGTATAAAGGGTTCAAATTTGATTAATTTGTGCAGAGCAGAGGGGTCAACGTGGGAACCCAACTTTGCTGCTAATGGCATTTTCTTGCTGCTCCAAATGGAACGCTGCCTATTTTAAAGCCAACTGAACGAGACATAAAGCTGCTAGCAGGCAAATTGCATTTATCTTTCCTCCCTTCACGAAGCGTCTGAAAGCTGCGGAGCTGCCGGGGCGTTTCCGTGGATGGTCTCAGGAGGCCGGCGGTGACTGCGAACAACCGTCGGAGCGGAGCCCGCCAGCTCACTGACGAAGGCCTTCGGTGCACGCTGCGGCACCTCGCTCCGCGCTGGTGGCTCTGGCGTCCACGTGCTCAGCGAGGACGGGCTGCGCCACGGCTGCGAAGGCAGCGGCTGAGCTGGGCGCCAAGGCCCCGCCACTGAGATCCGCAGGAACCGTAGGGGAGTCACAGAGACGCCAGGCCCCTCTCGGGCACATGGGCACGGAATTCAGGCCTCTGGGGACAGACGCCGTCACACGGGAGGCCCTGGGGGACCTGGCCCAGTCCTCGCTACTGCGACCTGATGAGAAATGCGTGTCTGGCCGTGGCCCAGCCCCAGCTCACAGCGTCCAAAGCCCTCGGTCGTCCTGAGTGACGGGTGAGAGGGGCCCTGTTGGCCACACCTGGGTCTGTGCTAACGGGGGTGGGGGGCAGGTCCCAGAGGACCCGACCACCTGATCAGAGGGCTGTGACTTTTGGCCCCAGCCCTCACCTCTGGGACCCGATCACCAGGGCCAGGGATTGGGCCAGTTGTGCTTGCACAGGCAGCCTCTGCAAACAGGTCGGGCCTTCGCGGCTGGCGAGCGTGGGGGGCGCTGGGAGGGGCCCAGGGCTTGGGGGCTGCGAGCACCGCGCCCCCGCGCGTCCTGCGTCTCTTCCCTTGGGCTGCTCCTGCCGTGTCCTTCAGGACACACTGGTAACGGTGAGCACGCACGTCCCTGAGCCCGCGAGCTGTCCTAGTGACTCGTCCGCCATGAGGAGGGGTCATGGGAACTTGACCTACAGCCAAGGCGGGCAGAACTTGGGGGTGACCTGGGGGCCCCAATATTTGAGGGGTGCCCACTGTAGGGGCATCCTGTGGCCTCAGCCTGGGGGGACTTGCGCCAACCACGGCGCGGCTGAGTTAGGGGCAGGACCCCTGGTGCGTGACCACAGAGAACCGAGAATGTCGACGTGTGAAAATCCGGCGTTTGGGGTCGCGCGTGCAGTGAGTAGAGAAACAGCGTTTTCTCTTTTCTCCCCAGAGTGGGAGGGAGACGGCAGCCCCCGCCTTTTTCTCAGTGTGACCATGAGTGTGCGGTGACGTGTCCCCAGGTTTTCTCCCGATGTGGCTGAATCCACCGACAACAGCCTTTCGTCACACATGGGCACACGCGGCTTACGCAGGGACCACCCACGGCACGTGACGGCCCCGCCCTGTCTCGGGGACAGAGGACGAGTCTGCGCACCCTGCACTCCCAGACTTGAGGGAGGAATTCCCAGAGAGAGACGTCCCTCCGACGGCAGGGCTGTCACGCTCTCCGTGCGGCTGCAACTGCGCACTTAGGGGCTCCTCCGAGGTGCTCTGCTCCCCTGTGGGGCAGGGGCGGCTCTGCTCCCCCCACGGAGCAGGGGCGGCTCTGCTGGGAAGGGGCATCCCTCGCTGGCTCCTCGTCCGAGTGGAGAAGCGGACAGACAGCAGAGGGCCTCAGACCCCGGAGCAGACACACGCAGCAGGGGACCAGGCCCGCCTTAGCCGTGCTGCGCCTGGAGAGAGCCCGCGCAGCCCGAGCACCAGCAGGTGCTCCCAGTCTCCCAGGAGCCTCTCCAGGCCTCCTCCTCGCCCCGCCCGAGAGCCAGCGCAGAGGTGACGCAGACGGGCCTGCACCCACTCCCCCACCAGCACCCTGGCCGGCAAGGCTCCCGCAGCCTCCACCTGGACCATGTCCTCGCCCTTCCCGCAGACTCGCCTGTTGCCTGGACCCCCGCGGCCTCAGACTGGAAGGGCCACCGCCCTGCCCGCCGCCCAGCGGAACCCACAACTCTGGGACCACGCGGCCACCATCCCTGCCCTGGAGACACGGATGACCTCAAAGGGATAAATCGGATGGTTGTCCCTGCCCCGCTGGCTGGGCACACAGTGCCACGCGCCGCCTGAGCACCTGCCGTTTCGGACGTTTGGTCCGGAGCCGTGCAGCCTCCCCAGGCCCCAGGGAAGCAGGTGGGGCTCCCGAGTCTGCTCCGAACTCAGTCAGGCGCCCGCATCCGTCTAGTTCACAAAGCGGCTTTGACACGAGACGCCCAGAGGAAAGGCCACGGCGGCGGCTCCGCGCCCAGGGCCTCGCGGGGCGGTCTGTCTCCAGATCCCGTGTGACCATCAGCACATCCGGGTCCTGGTTCTCAGGCGCTGCGGCCTGGCTGTCCTGGACCCTGACCTGGTACCAGCCAGGGCCCCAGTGATCAGCCCTGCACTGACCCCTTCCGCAGAGGCAGCCTCAGGCCTGGACATGAACTTGGGAGACGAGTCGGCCCCCACTGTAGGGGCCGTCCCTGGGCAAAATTGGCTTAAGCCCAGAGTCAGCGAAACTGGGCGTGCTCTCCTTGGCGCCAGAGGCCAATAGGCCCGGGCACAGCCTGTTGACCAAACAGAACTATTCCTCATGACAGATAGCTTTATGACAGATAACCAAGCGCCTGGGGTCTTGCAAACAAGCCAAGGCGTCTCATTGTCCTGCATACGGTAATGAGATAAAGAAGTTAAGATGCAAGAAGTTAAGATGCAAACGTCTGCTTCCCTTAAGCAATTGTCTGGAAGGAATGAAAATGTGTTTTCCTCAAGGCGCCCAAGGTAGTCATGTGCCAGGAAGTAGCTGCTGGACATAGAAAAAGTATATAATAAAGCGACTGGTGCAAATCGAGCACTGCAGTCTTGTACGTCTTGTGTGTGTCTGTGTGTTTCTTTCTGTGTCCATCCCCCATTCTGCAATCCAGGCCGCGACACCCACCTGCCTGCAGTCCCCTCCTAGTGCTCTGACACCGCCAGGGACAACCTTCCCAGCTGCGGTGACACGGGTGACACCTGGAGGCCTCGAAGGCTGCGCTGGCCCTGCTGCCCCTGCAGGGGGCTCCAGCATCGACCTCCCAAGTCCGGGCGGCCACACCGCCAGGCGCACCCACCGCTGCCGTGGGGCACACCCAGGCCAGCAGAGCGACCCTGCCCAGAGCGAGGAGGTGCCCGGGCACGGGGCAAAGGCAGAACCAGGCGCCCACCGGGGGCAGAGGGCACCCGCCTCACCCCAGCCGGCCTAGCGCAGGGGCAGCGGCTCTGACGGGCTCGGTGGGGCCGCCGTCCCCAGCCTTTCACCCCCCGGACCCCTGGCCAGCGTCTTCGACTGAGCGCAGCGGTGGCCGTGAGGCGCTCACGCACACTGCTCCCGACCCCTCCCGCCCCGGCGAGGGGGAGACGCTCCGCAGCCGCCTCGTGGCCGCCCCACCCCAGAGAAAGGAAGGAGGGGACCAATCTGTGGTGGAGGCGGCTCACCTGGGCACGGGGGCTGAGTCCCACCTGGAGCGGGACCCGCAGGTGAGCTAGGTGCGGGCGCGGCTCACCTCGTAGTGGAAGTCCATGCAGGTGAGGTCTCGCCAGCACGGGTCCCCCCGGATCTTGATCAGGCCCTGCCGAGGCAAGACAGAGGCGGTGTCAGTGAACCGTCCACAGTGAGAACCTGCCTGGCGGGAACGTGGGGAACGGATTCACCTGCTGCCTGAAATGCTCCAAAAGGTAAAATGCAACCAAAGCTTCACCGAGGCACAGTCAGACCTTTCTTGGTGAATGTAACTTGAAAACGCACGTCACAGGTGGAAAGCAACAGCGGCTTCCTTTTCCCAAAGCCAGCGCCTCCTGTGCTTTCTTCAGACATCCGAGCATCACCCCAACGACGCAGCCATGGGGCTCTTTTCACGGATGAGCCCGCGGCGCCCTGCACACAAACCCCACCTCTGCAGACGCCAAGGACCACACCAAAGGCATGATCTCAACTGCCACCACCGCCGACCAGGCACAAGCTCAGTGGGCCAGAGAGAAAGACTCGTCCACGTAGGAGCCGTGGCCACCACACCTCCACAGCACAGGACGAAGCCCAGGCTCAGGCCTGAAGCATCTCCCTGTGAACTACCGTGCTGCCCTGAGTCCCAGGGTGAGGACGCCTGGGCACCAGCAGCAGACACGGGCGAGGCCACCGTAGGGGCTCGGAGAGCCATCGGCCCTGCAGCCGCCTCAGCCACGAGTGAGCGCCAGGAAGGAGGTTGCTCCCCTGCCTGTCTGCTCTCTCCTGGGCACTCCAACCTCCGACGAGTGAGAAACTGTCCCCTACCAGGACTGAAACCACTGCTTGTGACGCAGAGATTCACTTCTAGTTCTGTCTCTTACTCCCTAGCTGAGTTGGAAGGTAAGAAACTGTGCGGATGGAGAGACAGGCCCAGGCTTCTCCTGAGACAGACAGTGGTTTCTGCCGCTCCAACTATTCTGGTCAAGTCCCACTGCCTTCATCCACCACCCATCCACCCACCCATCTACCCAACCATCCACCTGCCCACCCATCCAACCACCCACCCACCCATCTACCCAGCCATCCACCTGCCCACCTGTCCTTCCACCCGCCCGCCATCCACGCATCCAGCACACATGGACCGAGTGCTGTGAGGTGCCAGGTCCTTCCGGCAAGCACAGGTCCAGCTGGGCCCAGAAGAGGCCGCATCCTGGGGAGGGCAGACACGTCGGAGGTGCAGGGGCCAGGACAGGGTGTCTGTCGGTCCTGGCGGCTATGACAAAGCACCACAGGCTGGGCGGCTCACGAACAAGAGAATTTACGTCTCACGTTTCGAGGCTGGAGGGCTGAGCCCAGGGTGCCAGCAGGGCCAGGCTCTGGTGGGGGCTCACTTCCCAGCCACAGACGGCCACCTTCCCCCCACGTCCTCACGTGCAGAAAGAGGGCCAGGGGTCTCTCTGGGGTCCCTCGTACAAGGGCACTAGCCCTCGTCACCCCGGTGAGAGCTGCCCCCCCGCAGAGGTGCTGGGCATCTAGGCCCACCCCGACACTGTCACCCTAGGCTCAGACATCCAGGTCATGGCAGGGCAGCCCTGGGAGGCGAGGGCACCTACGAGGGACGAAGGGCAGAGCGTGGGCGAGTGGAGCAGGGAGGCCGTCAGGGAGGGCAGCTGGGCCTCCAGGGCGGATTTCTTCCCCTGCAGCAGCCCCAGCCTGCCCTCGGGCCCCCCCGCCGCCCAGGGCCATCCAGGACAACAACCCTCCTCTTTGCAGTCTGCTGCCCGCAGACTTCAATCACGCCTGCAAAACAGCACCCAGCAACGTGAGAGCAGCGTTCGGTGGATCACCAGGGGCCACAGCCCAGCTGGCGGAGGGCGGAGTGGGGACAGTGCTGTGTGCGGGTCTGTGGCCACTGTGCGATTGGCAAAGGCAGGGCGTCTGCAGCTGCCGGCAGAGCGACCTGGGCAGGGCAGGGCAGGGCCGGGCGGCGGTGCGTGCTGAGCCCCAGGAGTGTGCAGGATGTGCAGCCCACAGGGCTGGGCGGGGACGGCGAGGTGTGAAAGCTGTGAGGGGCCGCGGCCACCTAACACCGCTGGCCTGGGCCACTGGGCCGCCAGCCCCCAGTGTCATGGCGCCTGGGAGTGGAGCCACGCGGTGGGTATCAGGGAACGTTGCTACGCAGAGATTAGAAGGATGAGTTAATTGAAGACCACGAGGCACATCTGGAAACAGGGTTTGCTCAGGTCACAAGAGCACCAGAGAGGCAGCGTCTGGCTGGTGCTTCTGCGCGGCTCACTGGCGTTTGCGTAAAAACCGTGGTTCCAAAGCCAGGCATGTCCGCGACCACGCTGCTGACCGGGCGGAGTGCAGCCGCGGGAACACACCGCCTGGTTGGGCCAGGGCTCGGCCGCCAGCACCCACGCGCCTGGGGAGCACTGCTCGGCTCGGAACCCGAGTGGGACTCTTTGGAGATTCAAACCAGGAGAAGAAGAAAAAAACAAAATAATTAAAATGTCATTCAAATTCTAAGCTGATGTGAGACACTTAAAAATCTGAAGCATTCTTGCAGGAGCGGAGGATAATTATATTCCTCCCATCTAGCGATGCCTCCCCATGTTGCAGATGTCAGATTTTCCACGGATTTTTTTTCTTCCAGAGCAAGTGTCAGAGGAACAAAGCCTTCTTTGAGGCTTTTTCAGCCCAAAATTAATTCTGAAAAAATGGCACAGACGGGCCAGTAACGCGCCAGACCCGAGGAGCACGAGCGGCTACGTCCCTGCTGCCCTGGGCTCGGGAACGGACAGCGGGAGATGCCAGAACATTCCGGGGTGATGGAAGGTGGCTCAGGCCCTGCGGGGACAGGGGTGGCCGACAGCTCCTGTCCCCGTGCCCCGTGTCCCAGAAGATGCCTCTTAAAACTCCAGTTTGAAAACATAAAACACCAAGGTCCCAGGCCACGGAGGGCAGTCCCGGCCCCAGTGCTGCTGTGGACGCCCCGTTTCCCTGCCTCATCCCAGACCCCCCCGCCCCCCTGCTGCGCCCCAGGGCCAGCGTCCGTGCTGACCGCGGGGTCCTCCCCGTCTGCACACAGGGATCCCTTGCGGGGCTGCTCCTGTCTGCACAGGAGGACACCAGGGGAGGAGCCCCCCCCAGCCGTGACTGAAGGTGGGGGGCTGGGGCGGGCACGTCTGCGCGTGGGTGTGGGGTCTCGGCTCCGCTGGGCGGCCGCTTCTCTCCCCGGAGCTGAGCTGGGCACACAGACGGCCCCATGTGCTCAAGAGCCGGGCGACCGCCGCCTTCGAGATTCACTCCGTGAGCCCGGGCGGTGCCGAGGGCCCACAGCCGAGGGGTCTGCCTGGCCGTGGCCGCTCCTACCCCCGGGCTGGTGTCTGCGCTTCGTGACCAGTATTTTGTGGTGAAGACACAGGCATCCGCTCGGAGAGAAGAGACTGAGCATCTGAAACACGCGGCGGCCTCAGCAGTGGGCTGCGCAGGAAGCGGAGCCGTCTCCGGGCTCCCGCCACAGGGGGCCTCGGGGCGCTGTGCGCAGAGGACGGAACTTTTCACTGGGAATCGCACCTGACAGCTCACCCGAAACTAGCCACTCTGGGATTTGTATTCCGAGGGACCTGGGCCTGGACTAACGCCTGGCAGTGAATTCCCAGGACCTCTAGGGTGGCGCCGCCAGCCCCCAAGCAGCCGGGAGACGCTGCCCTGGCAGACGGCTGGGCTGCAGAGCCTGGGCCCCACCCCCAGGCTCAAGAGCGGAGACGGTGTGCGCACGCGCCGCGCTGCGACTTCCGACAACGCTGGCCGGGCAGAACCGGGGAGTCTTGTCCGCCTCCTCCGATGCGAGTCCCGTGGTCCAGCTGCGCGCAGCTCTCGAGGCCTCGGGCCGGAGCCCCCCAGGCAGGGGCAGAGCCCGGGGGCCACATCCAAGCCTGGACACCCAGGACCTGGGTCACCTCCTGCGGTTTCCCCGCAGCAGCACCACTGCGTGACCCCCAGCAGCAACCCGTGGCTCAAAGGGGGTTGAAGGACGTGATTTCGCAGCGTGGTGTCTTCAGGGCATTTACTGTAAACGCGGCGTCGCCCGCCTGTCTGTGGACAGCCGTACTGCCTGCTCGCAGCAAGCGATTCCACCACGTGAGTCCACGCATTGTATGTGTCAATAGTTGTTTTAACTTAGAAATTTGACAGAGAAGATTTCGATTTTACTATACTTTTTTTATTTTGCAAACAACGTGCGATTGAACAGAAGACCACCCTCTGAATCCGGGACAGAACGCACGTGTGTGCGCAGCAGGGACAGCCGCCAGTCACGGGAAACCACGTGGGCTGAAACGCAGTTAGGAAGAGACATTACGGACGCCGCCTTTGCAAACTTTTACCCTGCACCCGCCCCCCACCCTGGAGACCCTTTGAAAACCGTCTCCACCACACCTGCACAGATGGCCTCTGGGGAGGCTGCAGGGAGAGGGCGGGGATTCGGAAAGTCCGCAGTGCGCGCTGGGGCGCGAGGCCTCTTTAAGCCACCGAGGAACAGCCCATGTCCCCCCCGTGACAAAGGGCCGGACGCCAGAGGCACAAAGGGGTTGCAGCGGCCGTGCACGGGGCACAGCTGGGGCCAGAGGTCACACACTGCAGACCTCATGTTCCAAAAATTCCCATGACGCCTCCGTGGCGCAGTCAGAGGTCTGCCGCTTCTGGGCGCTCGCGGGCAGGGAGACGGGACGTGAAAGAAGCCTCTTTTCTCCTGAGCCGCCCCCGCTGATGCGACGAGGCCAACTGGGACAATTGCCCTCCCTGCGGAGTGGGGGCCGGGACCGGGGCAGGCCTGTCAGGGACATGGCAGCCACGTCCGCTTGGCTTCGGCCCTCACGGGGACGTGCTGTGCTCCGGCGCGGATTTCACGTTTAATGTGGTGTTCCCGGGGCTCCGACTCCAGGAAAGGGCCGTCGACTTCGAAGTCTGTGTTCCTCGGCCGCTCAGCCGGCCACGGCTCTGCCTGCCTCACGGCTTCCCCACCCGCTTCACCACGCCCAGCGCCACCCACAGTGCCACTCCCCCGCAGCTGAGCAGCTCTGGGGAGGCTCCGAGGGTGGAACATGCTAAAGTGGAGCGAGC